AACTCCAACACGGAAATTCTTCCGTGTTTAATATTGACTTTATATAATGTACCGTCTCCTTCAGAAAGCAAACACAATTGTACCTTTCGACCTGTTCACTGACGTGGTTTCAAACCGCATGTATCTATTATATACGTATAATCAACAGGTCTGTCATGTCTGTCTCTCCGTCCACGTGATTTACCTCGAGAACCGTTGGATGGATTTGGATGAAATTTGGTACAAAGTTTATGTCATTTTGAACGACCCTAAAATCGCACTTTAGAAATTTCCTGCAATATTCTGGCACCGATAATAGCGCCACTTGTAATTTTTTTTTTATTTAGTGTTCTGTCTGACGACATGTCCATATGAACAGGATCCTTCCATCCTTTTCTCGGACTGGGACCTGTTCATATACGTTCTTGGCAGATGATCCAGAAGTGGTTTGCCATTGCCTTCTTCTGTGTGTGAATGGAGTAATTGTTGGGATGCCACGGAGAAACCGGGGAAGCCCCCGGAGGAAAACTCCGTGTTGCATAGACCACGGCCTTGCCCAACACAAGTTATAAATTCGGGCACCGCCGGGAATCGAACCCGAGACCCCAGGATTACAAGGCGTAAAATGAAGACTAAGCTAGAAATGGCAGTCAATACAATAGATAAAACCTAGAGAGTAACACAGACAAACCCTGGGTAAGAATATATAGAACAGACTAGAATGAGTTCCGAAATGCAAACCAAACAACGGAAAGGTGAAGAGTTATTTGCAAAACCTTTCAACTATTCGAAACACGTCCGAAAGAGAACCGGTCGAACCTCAGACACGGTCTCAATGCGGTCCTGGGAAAAAAGCAGACATCCCAACCGTCAATTTGAAGCCGGTCGGTCAGTAAGACTGCACGAAACACGGCGGTCACACGGCCCCTAAAACTGGGCCAATTAAGAGCGAGGATGAAACTCCGAAAGTCGCAATGGTCAGCTTAGCAGTCATAATTTGCATTCATAAGATCCCTACTTCGAAACTCAACACTACTTGCTTCCATTTCCTTCCCGATTCATCACTCTGCCATCCTACCTTAAGTTGGTAAAGCATCGTTACATAGACGATAAACAAAACAAATGGATTCTGCAGAATCTGAGGTTTTGACGGCGGCAAGTACGAAGATGACGGTCTTCTGGGTTGTAGCGCCGCGTGGTCTGACTGACGTCTACCGTTGCAGAGATCCTCCTTTCTGCCTCGCTATGATGGACGAGGCAGCAAGGACTTATGAAACGTCGGCTACAACCCAGAAGACAAATGAATTCCATTTTTCAAACAGAAGAGTAATCTCGGTTGCCTACTTTTCTTTTACGCCTGTCAGCGCAGCAAAGCTACAAATCCAAATTTTTAACAGACGCGACAAAGCAAATATTCGAGCTCCCCTTGACTTCCCGACTGCGATCCCCGCAGAAGTATCAGACGCCGTTCTTCTCGAAATGGAGGACGGAGCTCGGAAGTCAGAAACGACAGCAGAGCTGTCTGGCCCCCCTTGCTCAGCTAGAGAGAAAGAGAGCGGTGGGGTCGGGTTTATCGATTATCTCTCACCAGGGTGGGAAATCACCCTTCTACCAACGCGAACAAGTGATGTACCGCTGTTGGTGGTTCTCCCAACTCCTTCACACTGTCCAGAACTTACTCCTTCTAGCGAAAGCTGCCAATTCGCGCAGAAACTATCAGCACCTCCCGACAGATTTCTGCAGACTGCCATCGCGTCAGCAGATCCAGATTCAGATCCATAAAGACAGTCTTCACATCGTTTTCTTTATTAAATACGGAACCGTCATTTTAACTGTTACTGCTATAAAAGTCCGAATCCTAGTATCTCCATCTGTGGGAACAAAACTGAGGCCGTTTGATAACTCAGTTAGCAACTCTTCCCTCACTATTCTCTTCGAGCTATAACTTGTAATGAACAAATTATGACCGTCAGCAAATCTTGACGATATAATAGAGATAATTACATTAACAGCTCATTTATACAACCCTCAGTTCGCACTTCATTGAAAACAGCAATATGTTTGTGTTTATTCTACAACTGAAAAGAAATAAATATATTGCAATTAATGAAAAACTGGCAAATCCTGTTTGGACAACCTTGCAACCGGCGGTTGACTGATCTGTCATATATCAGTTTCCAGATCGAAGTAACAAATTTATTCTGTCAAAATGAAATGAATTTATAGGTTGCCTCTCCCCCAGTCGCCAGAAGCGTCTGATTATAATAGCCAGTGCATTCGGATTCCTCAATGTGATTATAAACTGATTCCATAACAAAATACACATCATTCCACTTTTTTTTTAAACAAATCACTAGATCTCATCCATTCATAATAATTCGTGTTCATTCAGAATCTAACAGGAAACTTACATCTACGTAAAACCACGTCAATTCTGTCTACAGACATAATCGTCAAACAAAAATAAATGTTGTAATGTCTGCAGGGCTTTTGCTTTCATTAACGAATCAAAGAACATGAAACTCGTTCAACTATCAGACGACTGCTGTACAGAGGCGTCAAACAGGGGACATGCATGAGAGAAACTAACCATTTTAACAGCATCTGCTCTTTCTTTATAATGGCACGTATCGGAAAACGTAAGTGACACAGATGACATCGCTTGTCTACCACAAAATGTTCTGCATGTGTTTTCTTTTTTATTAAATAAATCCGCTGGTCATAGGATGCCCGATGGATGACAGAGTAAGTATTTTGCTTGTAAGTACGTCTCGCAGAAAAATCGTTTCAACAAACTTGTTAAAAGTGTGACTCGTGAACTAAAAATAACGCACGCAACCCCTTGCTTTATAGCAATCAGAGCTTTCATGTCGAACGGTTGGTTCAGCGGCAGAAATTCGAGAGCCACGGGACGTTAGTCCACTGTCGCACTCACAGGGAATTGACTGTCCTTTCTTCTGTTACCATCGACACACAATAGCAATAAATCTGCACTGTTTGCTCTGACAAATAATTGATTCGTAGGATATTTCTTCTCTACGGGAACCAAACATGTGCTGTATCGCTGGAACAAATGTTGCAGTCGCGGATAAAGACAGGGTTTGTCTGCTATTTCTTGTTCTGTTGGGCAGTATATACTGAAGAAGTGGTAATGCGAGTGAAACGCCCTCCGGTGTTAATGAACACACTTCGTAACGGCAATATTTACACTTATGCACAAAAAACAAAGTTGATGTCTCATCGCCCTGATGACGGAGGCAGCAAGGACTTCTGAAACGTCGGTAAACTTCTACCAGACTACACGGCGCAACAACCCAGGAGACAGCCGCCTTACAGAATTTTATCGCTGCCATTCGAACACGGCAGGGCTCCTTAGACCGAGCATCATATAATCGATTAGCCTCTACTTATCTTCACAGAACACAAAAAAATCGTACAGATACCCCAAGCACGGGCAGGATTCTAACCTTCAACATAACTTTGTAGGCGACCCAAAACCACCGAGATCGTCCACAAATTAATTTCTCTGACGTAAACCGAAAGCAGCAATCCCCACGCTCGTGCGTACTTAGACAGAAATAATGGACTTCAAGCTGTGCTGCAAAGCCACTAATTACCAGGTATAACCCGGGGAAACGTCTCATTAACATAAGAATTATTTCGACAACCGGAAGGGCGAGATACTCTACGGTGGGTTCTGTTACTGATTGTACAGTGGCTTCCGCACCTGCTTAACGCGTTACCCGAAGCAAATAGCGTATAAACCCAACATTAACCCTGAGAAAATTGGAACAGTTGGCCCAAGGCCTAATTTAGCATGATTTTTAACACATTCATTTACAGATACGATAAAATGTCCTCATTTAGATACCAACCTTGCGGTTGGTGAGTCGGTAAGACGGGTGAATGCCCCATTTCTTGAAAGATGGCACAAACACCACGTCACTGGAAGTTCAAAACATGAATTCCGTACTAATAACAATATCAACATGACGACCATGTGTGGTAACACACAATCCCAAGCAATTAAACATATGGCAGTAGATACTTCAAACATGAAATCCCACTGATGTGCCAACTAATGGACCCCTATACAAAGGACTCCCTGGGCTGCCACTGGAATCACTGCACCATCACCCTTTACATATTCATCTGAACTGAAACTATAGCCCTTTAGTTCCCTCTTGAGAGCAGCTGAACAGCTCCGCTGTGGGATCCTCCAAGACCTTCGCACCACCATCAAGAGACAGTGTCCTGGTATGTTCATGAAGGGTATCATCATGCACATCAATGTCCATCCACATGTGGCTACAGTGTTCAGGACATGTTGCATTCCATGCACTGGAAGGCGTTGGCCTGGACCTACCACAGCGTAAATTCCATGTGTGTATATACATGTATATTTATGTAATCTACCAGCAAATAAATGAAAAAATTAAAGTATACATTAACATTTCCTATTCTCAAACCAAATATGAATACATTTCCCACAAACAATTCAAAAGGAACACATTTGGATTCCGTGCACATTTAACAAAATACCCACAGATAAGGTAGGGCTTCTATTGGACTAATCTGGACCAAACAGACATTTCTGGGCAAACCTACCATGCATTTAATTCAGAACTTTAAAGTGACATCAGAGTTGAAACACGTGAACAACTAACCAATTAACTTAACGGAACAGTCATTCTTGAGAAGCTGGAAGGACTTCAGCAAGTCAAAAAATTTTCCACTTTGTTATGGAACTAAAAGTTTTATCATCACGTTCACAAGAGCCTGTCACCAGTTCTTATACAAAGTCTAAGTAGTTTCATGTGTGGAACTGAATTGAATGAGAGTGGTGTACAATACTTCCCTGGTACTTATTAAGCACCCCAAGACATAATATATGGAGAATAACTCCACTGACAGAAGGTCGGTAGTAGGGGGGGGGGGGGGGGGGGGGGGCGGGATGTCCACATTATCATCGAAGTTATCTGAAGCTAAAAACCTGTTTAAAGATTTTGACTTGGATTCATTCTTAACTTCCAAACACAGATCGCCATGATTAAATCTCTCCACAACAAAGGTGTCTGTTGTTCATTTACTTGCCAACAGCCACTCCCTAACTTCTGCAGCCACCAGAGGTCAGTATCAGTCAAGTCCTCTAAAAGCATGGACATAAGCATACAAGCATAGAGATGAAAAATGTACACAACCTTCACATAACAATTTTCTTCAAAAAATGCCTAACAAAGAATCTATTAAAAATGTTACGGAATCAATTATTTAAATTACCAAATGCACAGAAATGTGCAAGTGGTTTCAAGAAACATGACATCATATATTTACATCATCATCACCATCTATAGCTCTGCAGCCTGATGTGGGTCTTGGCTGCCTCTTTTGGAGGTTACTTAATCTATTTATAAATTTGGCAGGACTCCTTGGATGAGTGATCAGCCGTCGCACGATCTCTACCTGTACAAAGGACAGCACAATACAGAAAGACGTAGACAAACATCAGCTTTGATTGGGATTCGAATCCAGTCCCAGTGTCCAAGCACTCAAGGTCCACGGCCTCAGACCACACAGCCGCTGTGACCGGCCATATATTTATATGATTCAAAATGAGGAACACTGTTATACAATATAGTTTACTTCTTGCAAAATAACCAATATTGCTGGCAGCTATTGTAACCAAGCTATATGCAGTTGGAATAATGGTTAAACTACCTCCTTCCTCAATAAATAAATAAACATTCACTTGTTAAAGACATTACCTGTTGTTATGCAATACACAGGTTCATCACAAAAACCCACCACTAGACACCATTCTGAGTTATTCAATCCGGTTCACATCCCTGCAACCCAACTCTCCAAATTCCATTTTAATATTATACACACATGTGTACTCAAAGTAGTATTCTTCAGACCAAATGCTGTGTGAATTTCTTATTTCTCCATTCACATCATATGTTCCACCTATAAAATATACTCTTTGATTCAATCATTTTAAAACTTTCATATTCAGAAAAAAGTTTAAAATTATATCTGTACCATCCTTAATCTTAGCTTTTTAACCAAAAAAAAGATAAGATAAAATATTCTCACTGAATGGCATCACGCTGTTATCACATTACCACCAGTAAAGTTATCCTCATAACACACACCAAGCCTCCAAGAAATAAGTAGCACCTCTGATATGAGGCACAGATAAGGGAATGCAGTTAATGCCACTTCTTAAAATACAGTATTAACTTGCATGCTTAAAAAACTCCACCTCTAAAATAAAAAAAAATATCATGGGTAAACAAAATTTAAGCTGAGTTAAGAAATAATCATATATCACCAATGTGTAGAAAGGGATTAAAGATGTGATCAGACTTCCAACAGCTATGGTTCAATACTTGGTCCCCATCATATATATCAATAATTTACTACCAACCATTAACTCTCAGTCTACACCGATACTTTTGCAGATGATACTAAAATTATTATTTCAAAACCAAAACTTGAATGTTTTCTAATTTGCATTAATGATGTGTTTGCTAGCTTGAACAAATGGATTAATGCCAATAGACTCACATTAAACTTTGGCAAAACAAATTTATTGAAATTTTGTACTACAAAAAAAAAGTGCCAAGAGTATTAGGACAGAACAATTGACGAAGCAGAAACAACTAAATTTATTGGCTAACAAATTGACAATAACTTAAACTGGAAAACACATATTCACTAAACTATGCTCAGCATACTTTGCTATGAGGACTGTCACATCACTCATGAAAACAGAAGCTTTAAAATTAGTCTGCTTTGCTTACTTCCATTCGATCATGTCACATGGAATAATTTTCTGCAGAAACTCAATGGACAGCATAAAAGTAATTTACATTTAAAAGAATATTATTAGAATAAAGACAGGCACTAAAAGGACAGCCTCATGTAGGGAACTGTTTAAAAAATCCAATATTCTTCCATTAGCCAGCAAATTTTTCCTCTCATTATAATTTGTAGCGGATAACATTGAAAAATTTCAAACACACTCAGATATCCACAACATATGTACAAGATACAGATATAACCTTCATGTGCCACTAGTCTCAATAAATATCAAAGAGGAGTTTAATATACTGGAATTAAGCTATTCAATAATATTCCCTCCGACTACTGAAAGTCTGAAGCCATCATGAAAAGAATGTCTCCCATCTCACTCCTTGTACTCCACAGAAGAATATACCTCAACCAAAAATTTTCAGCTAATATAAATACATGTAAGCAATAGTGGTTATGCTTTTCTGTGTAATTAATTTTGCGGTAATACTGTAGTTAACCGTAAATTACTGTCATTGCAATATATATTTGGATTAGAAAGAAGTATCATATTTGTGCTGTGACATGTTTGACATCCTTCACTTAGCATGGGGCTGTGAAGGATCTATGAAATGTAAATAAATTTCATTCTATTCTTGAACTGATGTGAAGGGCAGGGTATGCTCATGTCAACAAATCACACACACACACACACACACAGTTAACCACAGTACAACAATGGAGACTGACACAATAAAAGCTAATGTATTTCATTCATACCTCAAAACTACAAACAGTCAATGTTCAACAGTTGTTGTCGTTGTTGTTTCTTGGCTCTACAACCCGGTTGTGGGTTTTCGGAAGTTTCTTGGTCTTGAAGTATGCATTTGTGAGTAGTGAGTGACCAGCCCTCTGACAATGTTCAACATAAATGCTTAATAAACAGGTATATTAATGGCAACTTTTTCAAACACTACATATCAAAGTCCTGACAGCACTTGAAAACGAACCTATTTATCAAACTTTCAGTTCGTATGTACAGCAACCAGAAACAAGACATCCAAAATTAAATTATGCATTCTTCTTGTACTTACCAAATGCAGCACGGTGTTTACAACTTCGCGGTTAGACACCTGTCCCACCTCGATCAGGCCGATGAGGACGGCAAATTTCAAGCTGTCGTTCATTGCCATTCTCACTACCTCTTCAGGTCTTTTTATTTCACTAATGGGCGGATTCTGAAGGTCCGTCATTGTTTACGAGAAAATTAATAGCTTCCACAACAATGAATGTTCACCACAATCACATTACATTTAGACTAAACACGGTTTTATCCACATCACATGATCACAATACGCGAACACAACTGCCATGTTGGAAACTCATGTGGCAGTGTTACCAACAACATGCTTCACATTCATGACACACCGAAATGAATGCTTTCGTTTACATGCTATTAGATCCTTGAGTGTATGAGAGTAGTTATAATATACTACGTCTTATACATTCTTCCCGTCTCATGTGCTACTGACATTTGTGCACGCCAAAACTCTGAAAATCGTAATTACGACATTGTCATGTTAACTTTCATAATTTTAAACTATAAATTCTATAGAATAACGAAAACCAACCGAGCTGGTTACTCCAGTGTGAAGGCGTATGGCATGCATTCCAGAAGTACCAATCCGATTTTCAAGATCTCATTGGACATAAAGAGGAAATGGATACAATGTTGTCCCAACTTCATAACTCAAAAACTAATTACAATTTCTGTTTCATTTGTCCCTTCTATTGATACATAAAAAGATTTTGTTTTTCTCACTATTCAGAATATTTTTATATTAGCAAACAAATGTAACCATACATAGTCATTCGTAGTGTTTAGCTACCTTCCTCACTAAATCCTATCAGAGAAGAAGAGGTAAAATGGCTGCCGTTGATGTTGAAAGGAGTCGGGTACGTCATAATATTTACATAAACTTACTTAAAGCCTTAAATATTTACATTTCATTACAAAAAATAATTATGATATGACTGATTATGTGATCAAATATATTTGTATTTAATCTTTGTGTTGACAATGAGCGCTTCCAGGTGCAGGGCGGTACACTTTGACATGAGTACTGTGCGTTTTAGATTCACTATATGATAAATACACTGTATTATTAAACATAGCCGGATTGTACATATAGCGCACTTAACACTCTTAAAATGTCACTCATGTATTACGAGTTAATATTCCCGTATTTGTAATTGCGAAAGAGGAAGAAACTAAGAGCGTAAAACTACTACAATATTGTTGCACTTTTAAATTTCGTATTAGTAGTTGGTGAATTATTGATGTAGTTCTATTCAAACAAATTTCCGATTAAATACTCCAGTTAACAAATGTAACCTTTAATTTTAGACATGTTTCACAATGAAGCAAAGTCTCTTAATTTTACAGTGTCTGGGTAGGCATATATAACTCCCATAGCCTACAGACATCAGATTAAAGATCCTACATTTTGAAACCATATTCACAGTACTCACTGCTTTCTCTTATACTGTTTTAGGTTGAGGCTAGCATTCGCAACTTGAAACTGTCGGGCCATGTTGGTTTCGATAGTCTTCCAGATCAGCTGGTAAATAAGTCAGTGCAGAATGGATTTGTGTTTAACATATTATGCATCGGTAATAATTGTGTCTTATGGTTTATCAGTTTTACAAGGACTTATAGAAATACATGTTTTCTTACTGAAAGTGTTGTACATCTAATTTTCAGGTGAAACAGGACTTGGGAAATCTACTTTGATGGACTCACTGTTTAATACCAGTTTTGAATCCACTCCAAGTCCTCATAATCTCCCCACTGTGAAGCTGAAAGCTCATACATATGAATTGCAAGAAAGTAATGTCAGGCTGAAGGTAATGGCAGTGTCAGTAGCAGACATGGGGGGGTGTAGGAATATGTTTATCAAAAATTTAATTTTTGTGAAATGAAATTTTGTTGCAGTTGACTATATGTGACACTGTTGGCTATGGTGACCAGATAAATAAAGAGGATAGTTTCAAAGCTGTGGTAGATTACATTGATGCACAGTTTGAAGCCTACCTTCAGGAGGAATTAAAGATTAAGCGGGCCATTTCATCTTATCATGATAGTCGAACTCATGTGTGCCTCTACTTCATTTGCCCTACTGGACATGGGTAAGCATAATGATTTATAGTTATACAAACTACTGTTACAATTGCTGTCCCAGTATGAACCATGATGTATGTTCAATGATAACGTTTTTCTTATTTATTATTTAACTTCTGCCTCAGCCCATACATATCATCTACAGAGTATAAAATTTGTTGATTTACAGAAGACACCTGATCTAAGTCTTAGAGTTGATTCGTAATACCCACCCGAATTTTACATTTGGGTCTGCCTTGTGCAAACCTGAATCTGCTAACAACCACTCCTAATTACTTTTTAGATTGAAGTCTATTGACCTTGTTTGTATGAAGAAACTAGATACAAAAGTTAACATCATCCCAATTATTGCAAAGGCTGACACTATATCCAAAACTGAACTGCAGAAATTCAAGGTAAGTTTTAAAATAACATAGAAATATTTAGTATTTACTGATATTTTAAGTGTATACATACCTTATAAGTAAATTTGTTTTATCATGCTGACAGTGTGTTCAGTTACATTGGCATGAAGTAATCTGGGACAGAGGAATCATTCTGTGAATATAACAGCTTGATTTATGTTTTGTTACAGTCTAAAATTAACTCTGAACTTGCCAATAATGGTGTGCATATTTATCAATTTCCAACTGATGATGAGACTGTGGCACAAGTTAACACATCAATGAATGCACATGTTCCATTTGCTGTTGTCGGAAGCACAGACTTTGTGCGTGTCGGAAATAAAATGATGCGATCCCGACAGTATCCTTGGGGAACAGTACAAGGTACAATAATTTTTAATTTTTCGAGTTATATTTTCAAACAAGGAAGTGTAGTAATGCACAATCATTCAATACAATGATTATTTTTTCCCAATATCAGTACCTGAGTACTGTGAAGAGCTTCTGCCAACTGTAAAATAAACTGCAGAAACAAATTCTAAACCATGTGCCATATTAGAAGTTCTGAACTGCAGGTCTGAATGTGTTCCAAATTTAATTACAAGGATTTGAAGTAAAATACATAGTACAATAAATTTAGATGAGGCGGAGACAGAATTCACATCCCCCCTCCCATAATATTGGTCTGTATTTAATGCCTACAAATTTTTATCCTTGCTTTTTGAAAATATTTGAACAAAATATTACTTTCCATTCTGGTGGTGAAAAATTTAGAGATAGTTCTGGACCAAATTTGTTTATACTATTGATTGTACCGTCAGAAATGTGAAGAGTGACATTTTGTGATTTGTGTTTGTTTCTTATTTCAGTTGAGAATGAGTCACATTGTGACTTTGTAAAACTACGTGAAATGTTGATCAGAACAAACATGGAAGACATGCGAGAAAAGACACACATGCGGCATTATGAATTATACCGCAAGAAACGTTTGGAACAGGTGATATATTCGTAATAACATATTTTAAATCCAATAATTATTGGAACAGATTTTTAGAGCAATGAATAATTTCTTCGCATCTGCTTTAAAACTTATTTAAAACAAATTATTTTACAAATAAAGTTTGGTATGCATGCCATAATTTCACAAGCTGTTTCATTAAATTATTATTGAATTCCATGCTAAATCTGACTGCTGTGAGTTGGAATAGTTCAGCAAACTGGATGTCTATGAAGTGATTCCCAGCAGGAGAAGCCATTTTCTATTTGCCACCATTTCCATGCTGGTTTTGGTTCTCTGATGGGTAATGGGTGCTATATCCCCATGGATAAAGCAGCTTAAGAGTGATCTCCATCTATTTTTGAGGTTAATAATGTGTGGAGTTGTACGTCCTCTCTCCCATTACACGCTCTCGGTGTGGTGCTTGGACACAGGAATGTCTCTGCCTTCATCTTTACTTTTTATTCATAAGATTGTAGTTATTGAATTTTTATTTGCAATTTGTGATTCCTGGTATGTTAATAGATGGGATTCAGTGATGTAGATGCGGAAAACAAGCCAGTGAGTTTCCAGCAAACGTTTGAGGCAAAGCGAAGCAACCATCTACAGGAACTTCAGCAGAAGGAGGATGAAATGAGGCAGATGTTTGTGGTTCGTGTAAAGGAGAAGGAGGCAGAGTTGAAAGAAACAGAGAAAGAGGTATGGTTACTGGTCAGACTGTGTCATACCAAAATGGTCTCTGCATGTCCATCAGCAGGCAGCGTTTGTACCTGAACAGTCCATGGAAACTAAGCATCACACGAAACTTCTGTAGTAACTAACATTTGTCATTCTACTCGGTATTTAATTAAATTTAAATTTTAGTATATGCTGTTGTATTCATTCCAGAGTTGTCATTCAGACTTTGAATTAATAAACTTTTATTATGTTCAATAGCTTCATGCAAAATTTGATAAACTCAAGAAGGAACACACTGAGGAGAAGAAGAAGCTGGAAGAATCTCGCAAGAAGCTCGAAGACGATATCATGGAATTTAATCGCAGGAAGCAGCAGCTGCTGCAGCAACACATGAGCAGCAGTCATCACACGCTGACTCTCGGAAAAAGCAAGAAGAAGTAGATTGACGTCGCTTTAAGCGTTCTTGCGACTTCCCTTCAGATCCTGTTTGTCGTATTATTTCAATTTCACTTTATGTATAGATATTTGTACTAGTAACAGAAATATAATGCAATACGTATTTGTAAGGAAATACTGTTTCCAGACCAGACGTAGTTTGCCATATGACAGAAGGAAAGGAAAATAAATTTGAAAACAAAAATCATGAGAGAGGGTAATAATTGGGGGGGGGGGGGGGGGGGATATTCTTCATTCATAATATTTTTTGCTGCTTTATACTTTTTAAGTGTGGTTAGTTTATATTCTGGTGGTATTCCCACTGTGCAATTTGGCAATGGAACAAATGTTTTCAGGTGTTTCTGCTGTAGTGCTGCTGCTCAGCGTGTATCTTCGCTAATACTACAAAGTACTAGGCTTCATCTGTGGTGTCCTTGGGATCTATTGCCCCTTTGTAATTCTAAAGCCATGGACTCATTTCAAATAAAATGATGCTAGAAGATGGAATTTCAGAATTCTAAATAAAGATAAAGGCATCACCGCACCGTGAGGCGTATAGGAGTTATCGAACACAGTAGAATCTTCAAATAGGCCACAACCACTTCATCCTCCTTTTCAAAATCGTTACCAGAATTGCGTTAGAGTTTGACAATGAATGACTGACAGCTGAAAATGTACTTTTAAGTAAACCATGAATTAGTCTTTCTGCTTCTCGTACGATTTGACGTCTCTCTTGATTATAGGCAGTAAATCACTGTATCAGATTAGTAATTAGTGAAGTAGGCAATCAGTAATTTTGATTTTGTAATTGTTAGGGTTGCCATTGTTCTATATCATTTTAATTTCAGAAAGAACGGGGATGCCTAGATCTAGGAATCGTGTTTACACGTAGAACCAATAACGGTGAGGATGGATATAGAAAAGCCATCTTTCAAAATAGTGGTTTTTTAGAGGAAGCAAAGTGTTGATTGAAAAGTACCAAACAGTTCAAGAACATTTAAATATGAATTATATAGAAAAGGATTTAAAGTCGTGCAGTCACCACGTAGGCCAACGCGACTGCCGATTCCTTACCTTTGCCTTCCGGTATGCAGCATCCAGAGTTCTTGTCTCTCTTCCCCGCTGCCCTCCTGTAACAAGAGTAGAAGTTATTTTAGGTGGAGTTAAGTATTTTCATCCAGAATCAATTTACCGAGACTTGCAGATGTGAACTAGTGATATTTAGTGTTAATCGCCTAATAGCGTCTTCCAGATTTATTGACGCGTTTCAGTAATATCCTTACTTCCAGCCATTCATATTTAGCCGGTCTTATTTTATTTCAACATTTTATAAACTTTTGTTTTTCCGACATCGAATTCTTCGCTGGTTCCTTTGATATTGACATTTCAGTTATTGTATTTTTTATGGAACTAGTTATACGTTCCAAGTTTGTAATTAAGGTAGTTATTTAATATTTATTTATTGCTGTCAAACTTATAATAATGATGAAATCAACTTCTCGTATTTTAATTGGAACATATGTACAGTGTATTTCAAAAGTTACTGAAAATTCAGTCTTGGGGTTTAACTGGACTTTACATTTATTTTGTTTTTCTGTAATTTGAATCCACTGACTATGAATGTTACAAAGAACAATGTATTAATTTAATAAATAAAATATATACTTTCAAATGCACATTTTATTATAACGCATACCTTAGTGTCTTTGTTGCCTTCAATTACAGATTAGACCTGTGGTTGAACAAGGGAGGTGCCCTGGCACTTTTTTGAGAAAAAATTTACAGTTATATTTCGGATACTTGTAATTCAGGAGCTATATTGGCCCTACGTGACCCACAACCTTGGTATAGACCACTAACACAATTGAGAGGAAACATACGGACGGACAAAGACGACCTCGCAGACGGAACGCAGAATACTTCCATCTAGTCCGTCGTCCCTTAGGAATTAAAAGTCGAACACGTAAATTATGTCATGCCGGAAGTATTTTGCCTATTATACGTTGATAATAAGAGAAGGTCGTTTAGAATTTATGGCTTCTGAATTCCTATCGGCGTAGGCAATTACGTGTTTATCGTGACAGCCATTAACATTCATTCGTAGGGGAAGTACGTATTTTTTTAGTTCCACTAATTTAAAACGTTTTAAACATCAGCAAGAGAACTATGAATTCTTCTCACGTAGTGTAATAATAACACTAACAAGAGATTCGGCTCAGCACTGTTTTGAAATACCATCATTCTGTGCTGTTGTTTCTTTAAATTCTTGGTACCCTGATATTTTCGGTTTGCAATCCAAAAATTCTATGCAATTCATATTGCACATACTAGTACAGGTACGGACATAAAAATTTAAACAAAGAATTGATGTTCAGAGATATGTTAATGATAAACACAATATATATTTCGAATCCTGTGCGTTTGATCTTGTATATAGAGATACAATATTAATAATAATGTTCGGTCGAAAGTCTATTTAGACCCGAGCAATCTTAGAATACAACATATCCAGCTGTATAGAAATATAGTGTAAAGAGAAATTTATCGGTATCTAGGAATATGAGGGGAAATGAAGTTTTATGCAGTGATGGCAGGTCCCTTCTATACGGAAGTGAAACTTTGGCGACGAAATGTGTATTTATCGTCAATCGATAAAGCTCATGATCTTTCTGGGTCTTTGCCTATGACAAGTCCATTCACCCTCAGCGAGAACTATTTCTCCAGATTCATTTTCCGTTCATATTTGTGCATGCGTTAGTAACAGCGCCTAACAAACAGACAGGTTGCAATCGAACTCGTGTGAAGATACGGGTTTCGGATGGCGTAGAATCACGGGGTTTCGGTGTTAGCGATGCAGAATTATTTCGTATCTTAACTAACCATCTGACTCCATGGTCACAGTTTTTTCTCGAAACAATATAGATGCCTAACTAATCATTAAATTTTCCATTCGTATGGTACACAGCTTCCTCAGTACTGTTCTCAAAAAAACTTACTTTACGTTTTTCCCTTAGGGTGACACGCCATGTTTCATACCCACACAAAACAAATAATTATATTTTCAAAAATTTTAACATTAAATAAAACACTGAAAATAAATTATTCTGGTGTGAATTGTAGTAAGCTTTACCCAAGATCGCCTTGATGAAAATGATTTGTCATGCAGATTGAAATTTAACTGGCTAGCTTGTGCGTGATTTTTCGGGGTCGATTATTAATTTCATCAGCTGTTTACGTATCGACAATGTTGTGTATGCTTTACATGGGCGACGTACTTTGCCCTGTTAATATATTTTGTTTCTGTGTGTTTATGTAAGAATATTAAGAGACAGGACTTCGTCCTAAGGATACTATGATCGAAGTATGAAACTATATTTCATTACACCCACTCCTTGCCTCTGTGCCCTGCCCCCACCGCCTTCAGATGACTCGCCTGACCTGCCAGCTTGCTTTTCTCCACGTGACTGTTCCTCAGTCCGCATCTCGGACACATGAAGGCATGAGGCAGACTTGTTCGTAGTGTCCGGCCATTCAGCTAATCCCGGACTTGTAAATCCTGAGGGATGACACCCCACTTACTCTCAGCATCTTCCGAGAACTGATGTGTGTATTATTAACAAGCGTGAACGAATTCTTATTTGCAGTTGTGTTATTCGGTAGGCTACGTGTCTTTAACACTACACACAGTGCGGAAAGTAAGTGTGAACACTTATCAAGTGTGGTTGTAAATATAGTGTTTACGAAGAGAAAATATTTGTGATTTCAATGCAAATATTATTGCCGTTGCTGATATAACATTCTTATAATGTGCTGTGATTTATCACAATTTTGGATTTTTCAAAAGGACTTTGATCTTAGCGGCCGCATGAAGTTTTAACTGTGGAGTTCAGAGAAGGGTAAGACCACACATTGTATTTTCTTTGTGTTGTTGTTGTTGTTGTGTGTGTGAGGGGGAGGGCATGAAAACTGTCAGATAAAATTGTGTTACGTCCTCAAAGTTCCAGTTCCTCCATTTTCAAACCCTCCCGCTCCAAACAGGCGCTACAGTCCGATTCCAAGCCTTGTCCTCCTCTAATTGTCGAGGTCTTCTGGATTCACTAGAAACTAAATCGACTGAGGACAGCCAATAGTCACTCGGCTAATTAGAAAATTCCGCGCCTTTTTATGGAACCCGAATTTTTTATTGTCGTGTTCATAACAGCCCCACACCGATCCCTATTTTCAGCCAGAAGATTGCAGTTGGCATCTTCTGTAATATCCAATTTACTAATTTCCTCACGTCTACGCCTATGACTCTCATGTGGTCTCATATGTCAAAGTTTTCCTAATAAAATTGTATGTGCATTTCTTTTCTTTTAAAACACGGTCTTCCGACCAATTGATTGCGTCTGATTTTTAATCATCAGATACTTGGTTCGAATCTATACTGAGGCACCGAGTGAGGGCTTCCATGGTTATTTTACTTTAATCGCGTTATCAGTATTATGCCAACAGACTGCACACCGCCCGCTTTGCTTTGGGAGGAAACTTCCGCGGTGGGCACCTCCCTCCTAGGCCAGAATTCGACGTTACAATGAACCATTTCCACTGTTCCTGGAGAAAACAAGAAATTCCAGACATAATGTGTGAACGAAACGCACTATACGTGTCTTTGATTACTAAAGAACCTGTTTTCGGTATTTATCCTACAATTAATTTATTCCCAACTGCAGTGTCCTATATATTAGATAGCAATTCCTTTGTCAGTACGAGAAAAATGTTTGCGATATAATTTATAACATTTATATTCTCGCCTGTTAAATTAACCGAGACGTGCAGCGGAGAACACGCTGAAACGCTAAACAAAGACCTTTGAACTACACGGAGGGTAACGAACTGTTGCCATAAGTGAAAATATTGTCATCGTTTTATAAAACCTGGTGTGACTGACTCCAATGTCTCATAATACGCAACCACAATATTACTGAACTGCCCTCATTGGAGGTACCAAATATATCTGTCTCAGCAAAATCGAGTGCTTCGTAGTATTAAAAGAATCACGTAAATGCAGATTAACGACTTGGATTTGCTTGCCACGCCAATTTGATATAACCGTATGCAATGTTATGGCGACACATCGGAACAGAATACATATCGAACGATTTTGAAGTAGGCATTATGCAAAGTCTCAGTATGTTAACAAACTGTTTCATGCTGTATCCAACATATTAATTCATGCAATATACTACAAACATCAAGAGCCGAAACAGTTTTTAACTGTATTAAACAGAATAACTAAAGTCTTTTGTTTTTTAAGTTCTGCCACCATTTGTTTCTAGCCTCTAAAGAGATTCGGTATCAGCACTTGTTACATTTGCTTTATGTGCAGAGATGTTCCAAATTCCGCGGAGATACAGGTCAGTCGCCAAGCGAGTCAAGGTCGCCTGGTTTCTCACGTGCTCCATAATTACTGTCACTGGTTCCGGAGTATCTGAGCCTGTCTCAAAATACAAGAGAAATTCCTGACTACAAGATCATCGCCATAAACGTTACCTTCCTACGTCAGCCATTAACTTTTAACGAAGAAATGCTGTATTCTAACGAGGCTGAATCATTCACATAGGTTACTAGACGGGATACAAGCAAATATGATCATAATAATGTATAGAAAT